TCACAATACCAGACTGGATATAGACTACGAGTTGCGTGCTCGTCTTCTTCATCTTCGGATCCCATTTTAGATTTTTAGTTAGTATCCGCAAATCACAGTACACGTGTAAGAACATTTTATTCATTGATTCCTATCACGTTAAATCAACATACAATCTATTCTTTCGTATTTCCAGTAGGGCACTTGGTCTCACCTGTGAACCGGTGACTTAAGTACACTAGCTAGTAATACACTATTAAGAGAGACTAAAAGATCAAGCAAACAATAATAGCAATCATGAACACATCATTTTCTACTTATTCTACTAATAGTTGTCCAAATAACAGCTCATGATTAACCAATATTTATATGAATGGTTGTATTTAAGATGCAATTATTTGAGTAAATATATAATAACAATTTTCCTTATATTTACTATTCGATAACTCAACAGCAAGTCAAACATCAACGTTCAATAAACAATATGCGACACAAATCTGATTAACGATTTGATTCTATTAACAGCCAATGCAATCCTTAGGTTCTATATTAATCTATTCAAAGATTATGCGAATCGGTTCTACTTTCATACAATCCTATTTAATCACCTATAATTATTAGCAAATGACGACTTAATTCTCTTAATTCCCCTAAGACATTAATCAGTTCCGTATGATACAATTATAAGTCCATACAATGATCACTACATACGTATGTTGGTTTATTATGGTTTAATACTTGGTTAAGTTTTGCTTATGATATATATTCAGTTATTACTTGTATTTACGAACAGTCTTGTTCTTCTTTTCAATTCAATGAACTTATTTAACAATTTTGTTATTGTGGTTTTCCTCCTTATAGTGATTTAAGTAAGCAATATAGTTGAAACACTACTTACAAAATAATCTAATCTATCATCCACGAATTATTAGTGGGTCTAAATCTAATAATTAGTGGGTCTGACAAAAAATACGTGTGACTGCCGACAAATGGTGAATACAAAAGTAGCACTATGTGATATCGATAGATTAACAACGATTGGTAAATAATAGTAAGATATTAGAAACATGTGCCTCGTGACATATAGTAATGGGTCTGTAAAATAATTTACGCCTATATATCTACATAACAAAACTTCTAAGGACATATAATCAACAAAAGAAAAATGTATACAGATGAGAAAAAGAAACGAAATTATGGAACAATGTTTGTCTACTGTTTCTTCTGTTTTGTTTTCGTTGTGGAAGTGGTAAGATTTGCAAAACCTTACTACAACCTTGAAAACCTAATGGAGACAGAAGCAGTGGTAGAAGGAACACTTTCGGACGTGGTGAACTCAAATATACTTCCATGTCACTTCTTGAGTTCTCGATCTGTCTCTGTTCCTGCTAAAACTCACCAGAAGCTGGGGGGACCAATAATCATATACAGAGATCGTCCTCCAACTTCGTACTGCGTGAAGTTCGAGTCTTTTGCCAATATGTCGAACTTGGTCAAGGATGGTGTGTACGAATCACGTCCTTTCTCCATCGGTGGATACAATTGGTACTTACACACAAACTCAAAACCGATTGACAATAAGTGGTTACATTCATATCTTAATATATTTTGTTTATTTCTGATATTGGATATTTTAACACCTTGCTCTAAATCTTATCTAAGATTCTAATTTAACTATATAGGATTTGACCCTTTTTGCTTAAAATGGTTTTAGGACATTCCTAATCTACCCGAACGGGAACAAACCCGAGTCTGCGGATGGATACGTTTCGCTTTACGCAAAAATTGATAACTCAAGCCTTATCGCCAATCCAAAAGATGTGTATGCGGAGGTCAAATTTTTCGTCTATAGAAGGACTCTAGACCAGTACTATATGTACCAGGGTACTAATCAATCTAGAGACAGTGAGATGATCTTTTGTGGTTTTCTTCAGAGTAATAACTAGTTTCTATCGGTTTTGTAGAGACTGTGGCGCAGCGATTTCATTTGTTTAAACCGCAGTGGGGAATGCCAAACTTTCTTCCGATTTCGTATTTCAAAGATCCGGGACTAGGATTCATTTTCGATGGTGGACAAAGTGTGTTTGGCATTGACATCTTCGTTGCTCAACCTTTTGAAAAATGGGAAATTTTCTCTTACGAACAAAACATCCGTGACCCTGTTTTCGCTTGGAAGCTCACCAATTTCTCTATCCGCTATCTTGACTCTTACTCTTCTGGTTCGTTTTCTTCTGGAGGAAGAAACTGGTGACTCTCTCTTTCTCGCTATATGTTCTGATGATCATGGAGATATAGCTAGAGTATGTGTTAATATATACATATGTCACGGTGTGTAGGGAATTGAAAGTGTATCCAAATGGAGTCGGATCTGGGATGGGTAATTCGTTGTCACTCTATTTGTTGAGTACGTCAGGTGAAAATGGTTACGTGGAAGCCAAGTTACGAGTCATTGGATCCACTAATGTGGAGAAGCAAGGTCAGTCTTTTCACTCTACATGTATTTAGACTGTTTTATAAACAATGTTTTTAAATTAACCTTTGATTTGTTCCTATATATATAGTGGCCGGAATGCCCAATGCAACAGAAAATGGATGGGGTTTCGACAAGTTTATGCCACTTGCAGATATCAGAGACACATCCAAAGGTTTCCTTGTCAATGATGCTCTCAAAATTGAAGTCGAGATCGTGTCTTTCTCTAAAACCGACTCTATCTAAGATGATCCCACGATCACTCTTTTGCTGTTTTTTTTTTTCCTTTTTTAAACCGGAGTAACAGTGAGGCCAAACACCAGACTAATCTCCGGTACTGGCCAAGTGAATTACTATCACTCTGATTCAATGTCGTTGTTTCTGGTTAATAATGAAAGAGTTGTTTATATGTCAAATTTGTTCAATCCAGTAAGTAGGCAGTAGCAAACATCACATTAATCAATTCAAAAGAAAACCCTTATATATTATTTGGAAAGCGATTTGTGAAAATTTGCTTATGTGTCATCTCCACATTCATTCTCCCAAAAAAAATGTGACATGGCAAGATACTAATTAAGACTTTGACAAAATACTAATCTCTCACATTTATGACATATTGTCACCAATAAATTATAAATCTTTGCAAATATATTTTCATGAAATCTTCAAAAAAAAATCTAATCAACTAAACTTAAATCTCATAAGTTATATTCTCGCCATTATAAAATCCAAAGCACTAGCGGATAATATGTCTCCCCTATTATATATAAGCCCTCCAACTTACATTTAGAAAACACTTTTACATTCTTATCAATAAAGTAATTCAATA